GTGTGCGGCACGCGCGTGACCGTGAGCTCCCTCGCCATCGCGTGCGAGGTCCGCACGATCCTGACGTCGCAGTGCGCCGCGTACCTAGATACGCAACTGGTGTCCACTGTACCACCTTGAGTCATTTCAGATGTGATTTCGCGCCGTTGCGCGGGGACCGTGCAACGCAATGTCCGCCGGTGAAGGGGGGATCGGCAGAGCGGGGTGCAGCGGGGGAGTGGGGCGCGGCAAGGGCAGCCTCTGTGTCGGGCTCGGAGTCGAGCCCGCCGCAGACGGAGGACTGGCGCGAGACTTGGCGCGAGCACCTGCTCACAGCTGCAGGCGTGAAGATACGCCGTTCACACTCACAGCTCGGCGGACCCGTCGGCGCGAGCACAGCGCTGCGAAGGCTTCGGCTTGAGGCCGGGCTGGAGCAACGCACTCAGATCTCGGCCAGATCTCGGCCAGATCTCGGCCAGATCTCGGCCAGATCTCGGCTGGATCTCGGCTGGATCTCGTCCTGTCCGCGGGCGCGGCTGCCGAGGCGACTGTCCGCTCCGTGCGGAAGGTACCGTCGCTGCGGCCACTGACGTCCTTGAGGAGGTTGGGCAGCTGCCTAAGGTGAGGCAAGGGAAACGTCTCCACACACACAAGGGGGGGCGACCCTCGCATCTCCACGCCCGGGACGCGGGCAGGAGCTGGCACGGCATTCAAAGTGCAAGCACCGGCCCGGTGCCGTGGGTGAGCAACCTGCAACCCACTCCCTCCCTCCCAGACTGCGGGTTGTGCGGCAGCTGCCTGCGCTGAGCCTCATCGAGCTCTGCCGCCGGCGCCCAGTCGCGGACTGCGGCGAGGGAGTAGCTCGCGCCCTCGAGAGGCTGGCTGGCCAGCGCCTCCTTGACGGCGGGCTCCTGTTCACAGGCTGCACCCGTGAAGGGACGCCGTTCACAGGCTGGCTGGCCAGCGCCTCCTCGACGGCGGGCTCCTGTTCACAGGCTGCACCCGTGAAGGGACGCCGTTCACAGGCTGGCTGGCCAGCGCCTCCTCGACGGCGGGCACCTCGAACCAGTACGGCAGCGTCTCCACCGCGCCGGTGTGCAGCGCCGCGCACCCCGTCAGGTACTTCGAGAACTTGGCCATCGGGAGGAGCAGCTCCGACGCGAGCAGCTCCTGTTCAGGACGCCCTCTTCACTGAGTGGGCGCTTGCTCCCTCCTCGGGGACGTCACGCTGCCCTCTCGCGAGCGGCTCCTCCACCCACGCTGGAGCCTCGGCCTGCAGCTTGACCTGAGGTAAGGCGCAAGGACCAAGGTCAGGTACGCTTCTCCACGCGCACGAGGTGGTGGGGCGAGGGCCAAGATAGCCTTTGCGACTCCACGTCTAGACGACGGGAGCGGGCACGGCATTCAGAGTGCGAGGCCCAGTGCGTGTGGGTGAGCGGTGTGTGTGTGTGTGTGTGTGTGTGTGTGTGTGTGTGTGTGTGTGTGTGTGTGTGTGTGTGTGTGTGCGTGTGAGTGTGTGTGTGTGTGTGTGTGTGTGTGTGTGTGTGTGTGTGTGTGTGTGTGTGTGTGCGTGCGTGTGTGTGTGTGCGTGTGTGTGTGTGTGTGTGTGTGTGTGTGTGTGTGTGTGTGTGTGTGTGCGTGCGTGTGTGTGTGTGTGTGTGTGCGTGTGTGTGTGTGTGTGTGTGTGTGTGTGTGTGTGTGTGTGTGTGTGTGTGTGTGTGTGTGTGTGTGTGTGTGTGTGTGCCGTTGCGGCTAACTTCGAAATGTGCACCTGGGATGGCTGCGCTCCCTTTGTGCTGGCTGGCTGGTACACCCTGCGGCGGCGCGGCCGGTTGAGAGGTTTTCTTTTTGTGAGAGAAAAGCCTTGGGGTGGGAACCTCTGAGAAGGTGCAGGCGTGCGAGGGCGCTATCTGCGTCGTGCGGGGCTGCTGGCTGGGCGCTCTTGTGTTGTAAGGCTGCTGTTTTCTCAGGGCGCGGGGGGTCGCGCAGTGCGTGAGCCGCGCGGGCGTGTGTGAGTGTATTAGCTTTCCAGTTGATCCTTATCGGACTGGTGAGTTCCCTCTCGCTGTCAGTGTGACGTCCAGGCAGTCATTGGCAGCGGTGCTACACACCCTACGCCTTCATTCGTTTTCTCCAAGTAGGAAAGAAATTTTGTGTCTCGTCATCATGTTTTTCTTTTTTTGCTTATGGCAGTAAAAAGAAACGGAACTGTGTGCGACAGGCGCGGGCTCGGTCGATATCCAATACTTCGACTCACATGTTCACTGCTGCGGTGTGTGCCCGGGAAGGCGCAGCGGCGGGATGGATTGAGAAGGTCTCAGAGAGACTGCAGGCGTGCAGAGGCGCGCGTTGCAGTGTCTCTGATTGGGCTGCTGGCGGTGTGAGCGCGAGACGGCGTGGTGAGGCGAGGGGCAGGCTGTTGTTGCGGGGTGCGGGCAGCATCGTCGAGCGCAGTGCGTGTGGTGCTGTATGCTGTGTGTGCAGGCAGGCTGGCAGTCTGTGCTGTAGACCGGAACGGATGAGCGCGCGCGCGCGCGCGCGCGCGCGTGCGGGCGTGCGTGCGCGGCTTGCGCGGTGCAGGACCTGCGTCGTACTCGCGGCGCGTCCTGGTACTGCCGCTTGTGAGATGCCAGAAGCAGTGTGCAGAGCCTGCACAGGGCGCAAAAAGGCGAGGTAGTGCTGGTGAGGTGTGCTGCGGTGCGCGCGTCGCGGCGTGAGTGGACGAGCGGCTGGCTCTGGTAGTGCGAGGGGCGCGCAGCTGGTGCGGGCGGCGCGGGACGGCCATGGGGCGCCAGCACAGGGCAGACGCACATGGCACAGCTCTGAAATGGCGCTGCGCGTGTTTGCGTGCGCGCGGGGACGTACGCGCAGTTTTCACGCGGTGTGCGTGGAGAAGGGCATGAGGCTTGAGGGGCGCCGGCCGCGCGCGGCTCGGCGTGTGCGAGTGCGTGGTTCGTGTGGTTCGGTGCCCGAAGGCGACTGACCAGTCTTGCTGCCATCGCGGAACGAAGGCTTTAGAAGAAAGGTGACCCCCCCCCCACGAGGCAATGTTCGTCCCTGGCTCGCTTCCCCCCCAACCCCCAGTTCTATCCCCCAGTTCCAGCCCCCTCCAATCCCCAGTGTCGCCACGTACCTGCGCAGAAACCCGTATGCGCTGTGATCGGTTCCCGATCCATCCCGCTCGCCGTGCCGCATGAGAGCTACATGGAGAAGCCGGACGTCTTGGCGTGCCGCCGATCGCTGTCGGTGAAGCTGTTCGGCGCCTATAAACGGTGAAGCCTCCAGCGTGAGGGGCTGCAGAGGGGAGCAGAGGGGCGCAGAGGGGAGCAGAGGGGAGTGGCCGGGGGAGGCTCCCAATGCAATCTCGACTCGGGCAATCTCGGGTAATCTCGGGGAGTCCAAAGTCATCTCGCACCTTCCACTCGGCCGCATCGGACGGCGGCGCCGCCTGGGCTTGCTTCTTCCCGCCGCCCCCGCAGAGGACGCGGCGCAGCACCTAGAAACAGAAGTCTCCGCCGCGTCGACTCCGTGTTCTCGGCGCCGCGCAGAGGACGGCCGAGCACCGCCAAGAGCGCGAGGCCCAAAGCCACACCGCCGAGGATCTCGACCAGGCTCAGCGAGAGGGAGGTCTCCTCCGGGACAGGGGGCTGGAGCAGCGGCGGCGGTGGCGGCGGCGGCGTCGGAGAGGATAGCCACCACATCTGCACCTAGAAAAGACGAGCAAACGCGCGTGATGTCGTCTTTCGGGTCGGGTCGCGGCCCTCCGTTTGCCCACCGGCGGCGGCGGCGGCGGCGAGGGCGGCGGCGGCGGCGGCGGCGGCGCGGGTGGCGGCGGCGGCGTCTTGGTCGGCGGCGGCGTCGGCGGCGGCGGTGCCGGAAGCGCGCATCGCGACCCATTGGTCAGGAGGAGCTCGTAGAGGGACAGGCTGCCGGAGTGCGCGCCGGCAAACATGACCGCGGCGGCGCCCGACGGCGACTGGTGCTTGTCGAGGATTGCCACAGACTCGACGCCTACTTGCGCGTGAGTGACGCCGTGCATGAGGGCTGTGGGCGGGGGAGGGCGAGAGGCTGCTGGTGCGGCTCGGGCTCCGATGTCTCCGAGCGTCTGCTCCTTGAAGGCGACGCCCGGGCTCTTGTCCTAGTGCGTGAGTACACAACGCCAGGGCGTGAATAGAGCTCGCACTAGAGG